TCCATCTTCAGTAAAATGCTGGCTTTGGGGCTAAAATAGCTAACTAGATAGAGAAAATGCTTTCATTTTAAGGAAGGGTTTATTCATTGATTTATATGTGGGGTGTGTTTAAAACAAGATGGAGTGTTAAATTTTGTCAAATGGGTAACAGCATCCATGAAAATGGTCATATAACTTTTTTTCTTGGAACTATTAATAAGGTAAGTTATATTACCAGATTTTCTTATTTTAAACCATCATTGCCTTCCTACAATAAACCCCATTTAGTCATTATGTTATTTTTATAATGTAGTTACATTGTCTTAGCTAATTTTAATTTAAAACTTTTGCATGGATTTTCATAAAGAACATCTGCCTATTATTTGCTCTCATTATGCAATTTATTAGGTTTTTCTATCAATGTTGTGCTTGTTTTAAAACTTTGAATTTTTTCGGGGCATCTGGGTGGCTCAGTCGGTTAAGCATCCACCTTCAGCTCAGGTCATGATCTAAGGGTCCTGGGGTCAAGCCCAGGGTCAGGCTCCCTGCTCAGCAGGGAGCCTGCCTGTCCCTCTGCCTCTGCCCCTCCCCCCCCAGCTCGTGCATGCTCTGGAGCCCACGCGTGCGCTCCCTCTCTCTCTCTCTCTCTCTCAAATAAATAATCTTTTAAAAAAACCTTTGAATTTTTTCTTCTTTTTGAATGCCTTAGAAGATATGGAAATATCTGCTTTGTAAAGGTCTCATCATTATGCTGTAAAAAATTATCTGGCACTAATGATTTTTGAAGAGGCAGATTTTTTGATATGTTTCTATATTTCCTACGTAGAAATTTATGTTTTTAGATTTTCTTTCTTTTTTGAAATCAGTTTCAATTAATTTTTCCTAGAAAATTATCCATATTATCCGATCTTTCTGTTGATTTATTAGTTATTTTATATTTTTCTTACTCATCAATTAATATTATAAATTCCTTCTTGCTACTTCCTTCGTTTTTTCTCTAACTTTATGAGAGTGATATGTAATCTAGGTATTTTTTTCTTTCAGTTTTATTGATAAAAGGGAACCTGGGTGGCTCAGTCGATTGAGCGTCTGCTTTCGGCTCAGGTCATGATGCCAGGGTCCTGGGATTGGGTCCTGCCTCGGACTCCCTGCTCGGTGGGGAGTCTGCTTCTCCCTCTCCCTCTGTCTCTGCCCCCTGCTCATGCTTGCGTGCTCTCTCTTTCTCTCTCACTCTGTACTCTCTCTCTCTCAAATAAATAAAATCTTTAAAAAAACTCTATAAAAATTTTTTTATTGATAAAAATATTTAAGGCCGTAAATTTTCCTTAATACTATTTTAACTGAATCTCACATATTCCTATGTGTATTTCATTCATTTTTAACTAACAACACTCCAATAATGATTTTTGGGTCCCAGGCATCCATCTTAGCACTTTACAAGTATTAAGTCATAGAACCAACATACCAATCATATGATGTGCGTGCTGTTAGCGTCCCTGTTTTACAGTTAAGGAAACTGAGTCATCACCATTAAGTAATTTGCCAAGGTCACACTTTGTGGTAAGAGTGAAGCTAGGTTTCAAAATCAGGCAGTCTGACTCCAGAGGTCATATAATTAACCAATATTTATTCTGTTTCCTTGTTTCCTGGAAATATGGCTCAGATCAAGTCATTCAACTAAGAATTTTTAGCTTTCCAGGAAAAAGGACCTCTATATTTTCTGATTTAAAAAATTAATTTCTAGGTTTTTTGTTTTTGTTTTTTATTTTTTAGAGAGAGAGCTTGTGAGCGGGGGGGGGGAGGTGGTGCAGAAGGAGAGGGAAAGAATTCTCAAGCAGACTCCCCCACACCCAGCATGGAGCCCAATGCAGCCCCATACCAGGACCCAAAGATCACCACCTGAGCCAAAATCTAGAGTCAGATGCCCAACCAACTGAGCCACCCAGGCACTCCTAATTTCTAGTGTTATTGTGTAATAATCACTAAGGGTTTTTTCTTACTTTGTTTTTGGAATGTGTTGATGCTTTTTTTTACCTTAATATATTGTCAATTTTTGTGATTGATCCATTGGCACTTGACAAAAACAATCATTCTCTATTACCAGGTACATAAGTTCTGCCTATTATTAATGCTGTTTAAGTTTTTGACATCCTTACATTTGTCCATTTTTTCTGTCTTGCACTAGGTAAGGTAAAGGGGATTCTGAACACCCAATTCCAATGTGGTGTTCCAGTTTCTCCACACCAGCACCACCACCAATGCTCAGAACACCAACAGGATGTCGGAGAACTCAACTCAATTCTGAAACTGTTAGGAGGCAATTGAAAAGTTAGGGAGTCAGAGCCTGGGTCCCCAACAAAAAAATACGGAGTCGGGACAGCTAAAATAAAACAGCACTGACATCCTCTTTTGCAGTTTAGACAGGACCACATGGTATTCTGCTTTGCAGCCTTTGCAGAAATGACTTTTGTAAAACCTCCTAAAATAAGACAATTAACCACAAAAGCATTTGTCAATGTCATGGGCAAGGGGCAGTTAAGACATAAGCCGCCAGATGTCAGCAAAAAGGGGCCATCAGCACATGGACATTAACCCAATAAGTAGATAGATATGCGAACAAAGCCCTGATTGGCATGACTCAGCACACCCTGATTGCTTAAGAAAGTTCTGCAAAAGAGCTCATAAAACTCCCTAAACTTAGAAACTCCAGGGGCAACCCACTCAGGCTTCCCTCCTTCTCTGGGAACTTTGTACTCTTGCTCAATAAGCTTTGCTTTGCTGTCCACCACTCTTCATCTGGTCTATCTCTTCATTCTTTGAAGTGGTGCAACGGAGAACCCAGGCACTAAAATCCTGTAACAACAACAACAAAAAAACTATCGACCTGAAGATAACATCAGGTCCTACAAGTTAAAGGTCAAGACTGCTGTACCCCCTGCATTGCTCCCCCATCCAACCCCCCGCGCACTTGCCTGTACTTCTGACCAACTAGCTATAAACCAGAGGTTCCCTCGACCCCTTCCTTCGGCTTGATTAATTTGCTAGAATGGCTCACAAAATGCAGAAAACATTTTACTTACTAGGTCACCAGTGTTTTATAAAACGATATGACTCAGGAACAGTCGGATAGAAAAGATGCATAGGGCAAGGTATAAGAAAGGAGTGCAGACCTTCCTTGCCCTCTCCCAGCACCCCAATGTATTCACCAACTCAGAAGCTCTCCAAACCAAGTCCTTTCGGACTTTTAGGGAGACTTCATTACCTAGGCCTGATTGGTTAAATCATTGGCCATTGAAGATTGATTCAAGCTCTAGCCTCTCATCCCTTCCCTGGAGGTCAAGCTAGTGGGATTAAAAGGTCCAACCCTCTCATGACAAGGTTGGTTTCTCTGGTTAGGCACATTTAGGTGACCTAGGGGCATTCCAAAAATCACATCACTAACATAACAAAAGACACCTTTATCATTCTTATTTCTTATAAGATTCCAAGGGTTTTAGGAGCTCTATGCCAGAAACGGGGATGAAGAGCAAATGTCTATTTCTTATTATAAATCATAGTATCACAAAATTCTCCTATTTTGATGTGATTCTTTCAACTTGTTCTATGTTTTAAAATCTGCTTTTCATCTAAAAAGTAATTTATAGTTTATCAAAGTTGCATGGATATTCGTGACGGCTGTATGTTCATGGTGAAATTTAGCCATTGGCATGATAAAAAGCCTTTCTGTGTACCCTTTAGTTTCAATTCTACTTTGTCTGATTTTTTTCTTTAAATTTTTTTTATTGTTATGTTATCACCATACATTACATCATTAGTTTTTGATGTAGTGTTCCATGATTCATTGTTTGTGTATAACACCCAGTGCTCCACGCAGAACGTGCCCTCTTTAATACCCATCACCAGGCTAACCCATCTATACTTTGTCTGATATTAAGACCCATGACTCCTGCTCTCTGCTTGTATTTTGCTTGGCATAGTTTTGTCTGTTCTTTTAACTATTTTGAATCACTCAGTTTCAGACTGTTAAAAACAGGCGTGGTAAAAATTTTAAGGGTTTATTTGAGCAGAAATCAATTCAAGTCATGCAGCATCCAATCTAGCAGATAGAAAGGAGCTCCAAAATGAATGACTTTCATAGGCAGAAGGGAACAGGAATGAGGAAGTTATACTACGCAAAAAATTGAGTTGGGTATTGCAGGGTTTCTTAAAAGATGGGGAGAGTCTAGCAGGCAGATAACCTAACTGGTACTGGTCAGGCGATTCCCGATTAGCTGGTTTAAACCTCCATTTCTGAGAGAACTTAAACTCCAATTAAGTCTCTGTTTCGTGATATGGGGCTTAGCACAAGACCCTCCATTTTGGACCTGTTGTCTTGTTTTAAATATATTTTAAAATATATATTTTAAGGATTTTAACCTTTCTTTGCTTTGCAGATACACACTATAGATAGCAACTTTAAGAAACATCAATAAAGTTAAAAGCATCCCTGAGGCAGAGTTGGCTGACAGACTCAATGAGGTCTTGTTGCAGCATGAGCAGTGGCCTGGGAGATGGGGTGTGTCGGAGTTGCAGAAGCGTGAGGAGCTCCCGGGGCTCAGTTGTGGCCGTAGCAATGCCCAGAGGAAGCCACGATCGATGACTCAGAAGCCCAGATGCAATATGAGGACCAAGGGGCTCGGTCATATTCTCGTTAACATCCAATGTTACCCCAAATTACTGTAGGGGCAGATACCCTGGGGGTGACCTCAGAAACAACCAGCAACACTGGCATCTAGGCCAAGGCAGAGACCACAGAACTTTCAATATTCAGGGGTGGGCTGAGATTCCCTGAAAGATACTACAACATTCTGTGAGCAGCTGTTGGGAGCCCCTCGCTGGGAGTCCTGGTTGTCCTAGCAGGAGAAAGTCTCCGGCATCTTTGGTAATGTGTCTTTTCTAGAAGACAAAGCACCTCTACTGGCACAGATCCAGTCTGGAATTGTTGCTTATCTGGAAGCTTCTGTGCTTCCTGGGGTTGAGGGTCAGATACAGCCATATTGGGCAAAATCTTCAAAAGTCCACAGCTCGAAGGCTGAAGATCTTCCATCAGGGCTGAACACATACCAGGATTCAAAAAGGGCAGCAGTCTCTGGCTTCAATCCCAGAGGATCACAGTCAGGGATGCAAGAGATGCTGGCAACTGGAGCTGGGGTCGGCTTCACAGAGGCATAAGTGTGGTCTATCATTACAACCTCAGAGAGGGTCAGAGGGGCCCCGCAGTCCCCATCAGCATGCCTGGGGAATCTTCTCTGAGTTCCATTTGCAGGAGCCAGAGGAACACTGTCAGAGAAGCTGACTGTAATACTGTCCAGGGATAGCAGGCACGGGCCAGGGTGCATCGGATTATCAGTATCTATTGGGGGCCCTAAGGGTTGAAGATCAGGATCACAACAGCACCCAGAAGCCTCAAAATGAACCTGGAATCCGGGGTTCGGTAGTGCGGGCTTGTCCATCCAGCCTCCATCCACAGGAAGGGGCTGAGCCTTGCAGTGCTGAGCTGCGTGCCCTGTTCCCACCGACAGGCGCCTCTTGGCCCGGGCCTGGATGCTAGGCCCCTGAGCACCCTGTTCCCGAGGACGACGACCAGGAGGACCACGCCTGCCGGTGGGCGGCTGGAGATCTGGGGCAGAGGGGTTGGGGGGCGGTGGCCGGGTGGGGCCAGACTCCCGGGAGGTGCGGGCGGGGACAGCCCCGGACTGGGCATCAGAGGAAGAGCTCTGCGCGGGCAAGGGGCGCGCGGAGGCCGGGCGCAGAGCGGTGCGGCGGCGGGTGCCCCGGCCAGCGGCCACAGGTCGCGGGGCGCGCGGGGCCCGGCGCGGGGGGAGGTGCCTCAGGCCCAGCGCGGCTCTCCCGGGGGCGCGCACCTCCCTCCAGGCGCGCAGCTCCCGACTGCCCTGCGCCGCGGGCTCCGTGTGGTCCACGGCAGCCCGGTCCTGCCCGCGCTTCCACAGCTCATAGCGCTCGGGCTGCAGGATGCGCACGAAGGCGTCCATGGAAAAGGTGACCCGGGCCCCCCCGCAGCTGCACTGGGAGGCCACCTTGCCATAATCGATCCAGCGCGGGGTGGCGAAGTTGATGGCTTCTGCGCAGTTGAAGCCATGGTTGAAGCCATGGTTGAAGCCAGAGTGGTAGCCATAGGGAAACGTCACCATGAACTCGCCAGCCTCCTGCGTGATCCGACTGAAGGGGATCCCGTTATCCTTGAGGACGGTGGGCGAGATGAGAGCCACCTTGTGCCGCAGGAAGGCCTCGCAGGCGCGGGCGCTGCCCGGGAAGAGCTCCGTGGCCAGGCGTTCCAGGCGCTGGCCGTGCTCTGGGGGCACCGCGTACCAAGTTTTGGGCTCCCCGAAGTGCAGGTAGTTGATGCTGTAAAGGTCCATGTCCTCCGTGTGCCAGGCGAAGGTGGTCTTCCACATGCCAAAGTACAGGTAGGGGGTGTTGACGCCCTCGATGACCACGCCGCACTCCTGCTCCAGCAGGTCCTGAATGGTTCCCAGGTGTCCGAGGTTCCACTCTTCCGTGTTTTCGTCAAACAAGGAGCCGCTGATGTCAGCGCCATAGATCGGAGAATCGTAGAGACGGGTTTTCCAGTATTTTCGCTCCAAGTCCTCAAAATCCGAGTGTGGTGGAGTTCGATACTTTCTGCTGTTTGCCAAATGGCAATACTCCCCCACTGTCATGGCTTTCTTCTTTTTATGGTATTGAGTAAACACACCTGCCTGGCCGGAGACCACCTGCTGGAGGGGAGTGGCTATTAAGATGTCACTGATATCATCGTAGGTCTGTCTGGCTTTCCATTCCTTGGGTGGAATCACCTTAGCGAGGCCTGCTCGGTGTGCGCCTTGGGATTCCATGTAAGCAATATATTTGTTGAAATCCTTGAATTCTTCCGTGGTTGGGTGGAAGGTCATGACTGTATAACTTGGGTTCTGGGGACCATAGTGCTTAGACTTCATGGCTGCAATATAATAAGCAGTCAACTCTGGGTTTTAGATACCTGAGTCGGTAGGGGATTAATAGCTTCTCTATTCTTTCTTTGAGAAAAATGCTGTGGTATATCTGTGAGGCAGGAATTCAGACATGAACTTTTAAACAAATGAAAAGATATTTCTTCCAGGCTAGCCGGTTCACCAGGGGGACGCCACTCTGGTCGGCATTTTGTGCCCAAAGGAAAGAGAGTATTACTCAGTGGGGCAGACACTCTGCGTCAAGTCCTAACTCAGCCTGCAGTTCTGTGAGATTCCTCAGTTGGAGTTGTGTCTCTGAGGCCTCTCCTGATTCACCGGTAGCTCCTCACCCCACTGTACAGCAGAAAGTCTCTTCAAGAAAGTTTAAAGGCTAAATCTAAAGAAAAGAATACAGAATCTTTGAAAATTAATAGATGACAAAAGGAACACTAATATAGCAACAAGTTAAAGAAAATTGGTATAACAATGTTAAGTTCAAAATTGGAAAAGCAATGCAAAAATTGCATTGTTGGTAGGAATGTATATTGGTGTAGCCCCTATGGAAAACAGTATGGAGGTTCCTCAAAAAATTAAATAGAACTAACATATGGATCTAGCAATTCCACTTCCCACTATATGCCCAAAGGAAATGAAAACAGAGTATCAAAGAGATATCTGTACCCCCATGTTTATTGCAACATTATTCACAATAGCCAAGATATGGAAGCAACCCAAGTGTCCATCAACAGATGAATGGATAAAGAAGTGGTATATATATAATGGAATATTATTTAGCCATAAAAGGGAATGAGATCTTGCCATTTGCAACAACATTAATGGACCTAAAGAGTATAATGGTAAGCAAAATAAGTCAGACAAAGACAAAGACCATATAATTTCACTCATATGTGGAATTTAAGAAACAAAACAAAAGAACAAAAAAGAAGCAAAGACAAAAACAGACTCTTAACTACAGAGAACAAACTGGTGGTTATCAGAGGTGAGGTGGGTGGGGGATGAGTGAAATTGGTGAAGGGGATTAAGAGTACACTCGTCTTGATGAGCACTGAGTAATGCAGAGAACTGTTGAATCACTATATTGTACACCTGAAACCAATTAACACTGAATGTTAACTAAACTTCAATAAAAAAATAATTCTCAACTTCTCTATTAAAAAGAAATATGTGGTGTATATATATACAAGGGAATACCATTTACTCATGAGAAAGATGGAGATCCTACCATTTGGGACAACACAGACCTTGAGAGCATTATGTTAAGTGAGATAAGCCAGATAGAGAAAGACAAATACTGCATAGTATCACTTATATATGGAATCTTAAAAAATTTTTTTGAAAAAGTTGAAACTTACAGAAACAGAAGGGGAAAAGTGATTGGGAGGGGCTGGGGGCTGGGGGCAATAGGCAGAGGTTGGTAAAAGGCTACAAAATTTCAGCTATAAGATGAATAAGTTCTGAGGATCTAATGTAAAACATAGTGACTATCCTTGATAAAAATGTGCTGTAGAATGAGACTCGAGAGTAGAACTTAAATGTTCTCACCAAAATATAAAAAATAAAAAAGTAAATACGTGAGGTTATTGTGGTATTAATTATCTAGATGGTGGAATCATTTTACAATGTGTACATCCAACAAATCGCCACAATATTCACCTCCAATAGTTTACAATTCTTTAATGTCAATGATACGTCAGTAAAGTTAAAATTTAAAAAAAAAGAATTTTAGGGCAAATCATAAGACAGAAAAAGAGAAACATTGAACTGAACTAAGAGAAAAATTAAGCAAGTTGGTAAATACATGAGAGAAGCACTCAACTCAGGAAACTGAATGAATTAACCTCAAAGGTAAATTAAGGAAAGGAAAACAAAGATATAAACTAAAATAATTGCAAAGGGAGTATAACACCTTGCAGAAATGAGCATCAAAACCTGATTCTTATAAAAGACCACTAGAAGTGAAAAGACAGGGGCACCTGGGTGGTGCAGTCGATTAAGTGTCAGACTCTTGTTTCAGCTCACGTCATGATCTCAGGGTCATGAGATCGAGTCCTACCTCCAGCTCCCCACTCAGCATCTGGCTTCCCATTCAGTGAGGAGTCTGACTGAGATTCTCTCTCTCTCTCCCTTTCTGCCCCTCCCCACCCCACACTCTCACTCTCTTGAGAGTGAGAAAAATAAAGAAATAATAATCTTTATTTAGAAATAAATCTATATCTATACCTATAAAGAAATAAAATCTTTAAAAAAAATGAAAAGACATAAGCATGAAAGGCGCAAATAGACCACATTCTGATAAAATAGGCGATATCGCTGAAAATCTATCAAAATTTTTAAAAAATTATAATTGAATATTGTAACTAACTTAGTGCTACTAATTTTGAAAACTAAAAAAGAAAATTTTCTCAAAGTACAACTATCCCAGAGTGGTCCAAGAAAAAAGTAGAATGTTTATATATACTAATAAACCTAATAGAAATATAACAACTGTAAGTATGACCCATAAAAACCTAAAACATCATCTTATAAGTTGTTTCTAACTTTTACTTCATACAAACTTTTCTAGGGTATGATATTCAGTTTCTTTTCTTTTTTTTCTTTTTAAGATTTTTTTCACTTATTTATTTTGACACAGAGAGAGAAAGCCCAAGCAGGGGAAGTGGCCTAAGGTAGAGGGAGAGAGACAGGGAGACTGAGCAGGGAGCCCGACGTGAGGCTTGATACCAGGACCCCAGGATCATGACCCAAGCCAAAGCCAGACACTTAACTAACTGAGCCACCAGGGACCCCTCAGTTTGTTTTCTGAGGCTACAAGCATAACCTTGAAGCTAAACCCAGAAGGGCCAACACTGGATACACACTTTATAGGGTCAATGATATCTAGGGGAAAAGTTTCAAAAACCTTAAATAAAATTTTATCAAATTTTTACCACAACAGGGCATTAAAAGAATAACACATCATGATAAATTACTGCAAGGATGCTTTAAAAACTAGCAGTGTTGGGGCACCTGGGTGGCTCAGTCAGTTAAGCAATAGACTCTTGATTTTGGCTCAGGTCATGGTCTCAGGGTCCTGGGATCAAGCCCTGCATCAGGCTCCACACTCAGCTGCAGAGTCTGCTTATCCCTCTCCCTCCCCCAGTTGTGCTCTCTCTCTCTCAAATAAATACGTAAGATCTTTTAAAAAGTTAAAAAAAATCTAGCGGTGTTACTGAATACCATAACAAATGAAATGGAAAAGGCATCATCTTATGTCATGCAGAAAAATATTTGAAATAACTCAACGTCTATTTCGTTATTTGAATACACGTTTTCAAAAAAAGAGGAAAGAAGTCCCATAATAGAAAAAAGTGCTATGTGAACTACAAGCAGGCAAAACATACAGAACATAAATGTACACATGAACTGTGCACTTAATGTATACACTCATTATCCTTAATGGGTAAACACTTGAGGCAATCTAATTAAAACCTAATCATGTCGGGGCGCCTGGGTGGCTCAGTTGTTAAGCATCTGCCTTCGGCTCAGGTCATGATCCCAGGGTCCTGGGATCGAGTCCCACATCGGGCTCCCTGCTCTGCGGGAAGCCTGCTTCTCCCTCTCCCGCTCCCCCTGCTTGTGTTCCTGCTCTCACTATGTCTCTCTCTGTCAAATAAATAAATAAAATCTTTAAAAAAAAAAAAAAACCTAATCATGTCACATCAAAAGATAAATTTTTAGAAATAATAGGGTTCAACAAACTTTCTGGACACAGATTAGCATCCAGAAATCTAGAGTATTCTGCACACCAGTTAATAATCAATTGGACAGTAGTCTCCCCTTGTCCTCAGGGGATGCATTCCAAGACCTCCACAAGATGCCTGATACCAAGGATAGTATCGAACACTATATGTACCATTTTTTTCCTACACATATGTATCTATGCTAAAGTTTAATGTATAAATTAGGCACAGTGAGAGATTAACAACAACAATCATAAAATGGAACAATTATAACAGTACACGGAAATAAAAGTTATGTGAATGTTATCTCTTCCTCTCTTCCAAGGGATCTTATTGTTTGTACTCATCTTTCTAACGGATGTGAGCTGATAAAATGCCTACGTGACGAGTGAAGTGAGGTGAGTGATGAGGCACTGGGAGGTAGCATTGGGCTACTATGGACTTCCTGAGCAAACGTTAGAAGGAGGACCCTCTGCTTCTGGAACTTGGTTGACCATAAGTCATTGAAGCAGAGGAAAGCAGCACTGTGGATTGGGGGACTACGATAATGTGGGATAGCAAAAAGGCTTCAATCCCTTTTAGCAACAGAAATACAAGATCCCAATGAAGAAATCTAAAAATGATAGGCACGTAACAGTTGTACTTTCAATGCATAAATAAAGAATTTTACCAAGAAAAAGTTGCTCTCTGATATATGTCATTGTTCATGTTTTATGCTTTAAAGGAAAAAACCATAACAAATGCTTGCTTTCTATGACTTTAAGATCTTGATTCCAAGTGATCATACATTAGGACTAAGAAAATGGTCCCCCTTAAGGTTTCAGCCTCTAAATGAAACATGCTTTGCTCAAGCTCCAGCTATATTGTCCCACCCTAATTCTAATTCAATCGGCGCCATCCAAATTCTGCTACCCCCCTATCCAATCAAGCTCTCTAATTTAGTCCCACGTATTTTCCAGTTTCCTGACTTTTTCTTTAAGATTTTATTTATTTGAGAGAGAGATAGACGGAGAAAGCACAGAGAGAGAGAGTGAGGGAGAAGCAGGATCCCCACTGAGCAGGGAGCCAGACATGGGGCTCGATCCCAGGACCCTAAAATCGGCGCCAGAGCCCAAGGCAGACGCTTAACCGCCTGAGCCACCCAGGCGCCCCTCCAGTTTCCTTTCAATCCTTTGCCGGTTCTAGAAAACCATCTTAATTGTGTTGGATACCAGCCTGTTAAATGCAGTGCTTTTTCCTGAAAATCTGTGATTTTTACCAAGAAGATAT